TTATGTTTCCCCTTATTTAAATTATTTTTTAAGGGTTGACATTTGAAACAGCTTCACAGTGGGCTGACATGTTTTTCTGCACTAAGTAGTTATTCAAATCAATAAATTGTAACAAACTTGCACCACATCCTGTGGTGCTTTCAATTAATTTTTACTAAGCCTTGTATTTGAAATACCACCATTTGAGTTACCTTAAATAGGATAAGCAATGGAGTTAGTTAAACTGACCTTGAAGCTGAAGGTAGACACGTCCTGCTACATGCAGTGAGCCCAGAGTGAAAAGGGAATAACAAGTTGGTGTGCTCATGGGATTCCAGGAAATATGAGAACTGGAAAGGAGGAGACAGAAGGGAAAATAATTGCTGCAGTAGCCAATCCTATTTCATTCAGTTATGTCAGTGACATTGCTTACACAAGGGTGCCCTTGAGGACATAAATAGGATGTAGCAAAAGGGGGCCATTGAACAGAATCACAGAATATGCTGAGTTGGAAGGCACCCACAAGGATTATTTAGTCCAGTGACTGGCTATGCACAGGATCATCCCCAAGAGTCACACCATGCGCCTGAGAGTATTGTCCAAATACTTCTTGAACACTGTCAGGTTTGGTGTTGTGACCACCTCCCTGGGGTGCCTGTTCCAGTGCCCAACCATCCTTTGGGTGAAGAACCTTTATCTAATATCCAGCCTAAAAGTCCTCTGACGCAACTTCAGGTCATTCCCCTAGGTTCTGTCACTGAGCACCACTGTCTTGGTTTGGAAATACAGGTGTCTGCTAAGGAAGGCAGGATCCTCCTCTGAAATGGAAAAATGTAGACCACTTCCCTCTGAATTGTTATAAATTTGAAAGTAAGGGGGGCTCCCAGGCAAAAATATGGCAGCAGGAATAACAGTTCTTTATTAGGGAAGAAAATAATAATAAAAAAAATAAACAATGCAGTGAACTACAACAACACTGACAGAGTCAGAATACAGCCTGACACCCTGTTAGTCAGGGTGTTGGCCGCAGTCCAATTGGGAATTATGGCTGCAGTCCTCTTGGATTGTCTGGTGTGGTTCTGTTGGAGCAGTGATCCTGTAAAAAAGGGGTGCAGTTTCCTCTGGGAAATCCAGTGCAGGAAAAGCTGTGCTGGTGTTCCAGAAACTCAAGATTATATCCAGGTAGAAATCCTTGCCTCCTCCCTCTGGCAGAGCATCTCACAATGGGATGCTGTCATTTTATCAGTCATGCAGTGTCATCCAATAGCCCATTATCAGCAGATGTCTCCCCTGAGAGTGGACTGGGTGTGGAAAAGATAAGGAACACTGCTCACTTAACAGAAGACAACTGCTGTGGGAAATTGTAATTTTTCTTTCCCCCCCACCCATGCCTACCCTTCCCCCTCCCCGCACGTTCCCTTTTGTCCAGGACCCTACCCCTCCCCCTCGCCACGCAGTCGGCTCCCCCACCCCTCCCCACCGTTCCCATCCCCACCCCTGTCCCTGGGGTCTCCTGCCTTCCCAGGGGGTTTTCCCCGTCCCTGTCCTATCCTTTTTGGCCGCGGTTCCGTTCCCCCCGCACACCCTCCCCCCCAATTCGGGGGTTATATCTGAGACCCCGCGAGTGCCCCCAGCGTCTCGGCTGCACACATCCACAATAAACACATGTATGCACCTGAGCCCCGTGTCGCGATCCGTCTGTCCCCGGGGTGAACCTGAACTCGCAGAGCTTAAGGCGAAAGTGGCGTTTGCCTCTCTCCCTCCTCCCCCCGCGCTCCGCCAGCGCCCGCCCGGCTCCGGGACCCTTTTCTGTTCTCACCGGCGTGCTCTCTACCCCAGCCTGGAGCAGCCGCGCGGTGGGGGCAGCCGAGCTGCGGGGGCCTTGACACAGGTAGACTTACCTCAGGACAGAAGAGGGGGGTTTGGCAGTGGCTCGCGGTAGAGCCGAGCCCCGAGAACTGAGTGTCATGGGACCCCACATGCATGGAGACTACTAGAGGCTGACAGTGGCCGAACCCAGGGTTTCAGGGACGAGCCCTGGTTAACAGGAACACCTAGGCTTTTAGGAGAGCCAAACCACGAAAAAATACGTCCTCAGTTCAGTGCGATTTTCCATCACCAAGGAGAGAGATAGAAATTTCACCGACCGAGCCCGGAGGGTAAGTGGGTCAGAGCAGGGTTGGGTCCCTGGCAGGCAGCTGAGCTACCTTTTTTTCTTTCCTGAGTTTTAACCACCGTCCGTGCTCAAACTGGGGCAGTAGCCTTGCATGTCCCTGATGGGCAGGAGGCTTTTCTTTTTCCAAGGAGCACGCAACCTTGCCCGGCCTTTTTGGGGTAACTCACACTTGAAAGCTCCTTCTCTTTCTCAGAAAGCTGCCTTTTCTACCCTCTCCTCCCTGTTCTGGGCTATGGGGGCAGGGAGGGTGGAAAGGACACAAATGGGAAAGAATTGTAGATGGCGACATGTCAGCTATGGGAGATGAGATAAATAAATGGTCAAATTTGTTCACTGAACCAGTATGTGCCCGACCAAGTTCGTTGTGTAGATAAAGGAAATAGCAGTTAAGAAAGAACTGCTTGTTGTTATGAACAAAACAGCCTGGCTGGGACACTTGGCTTGGGCTAAGTACTGACATTGAAATGTTAATTAGCTAATTGTTCCTGGGAATCACCTACCTCCCCCCACCCTCACTACCATTCTAGGACTGGGATGCAAAATAATCCAGTGGAATCATGGGAGGGGGTTTTGGGGATGAAAAACACCGCTAAATGGAAAAGATGGGCACAGTGGAGGGGGCTGGATGGGTGTGCTGGTTGGGGAAAAGGGAACCCCATCCCTAGTCTGTGTTTGACCTGTCACCATAACCTACAGAGGACCAGACTGGACTGGGCTGTGGGAAGCAGGAGCAAAGCAGACACACACTGCCTGGTGTTACCAGGAGGGAAGGAGAGGGATAGCTGCTGCTGGACTTCGGCAGCAGGCTCTGCACAGCCCCTCACCCTGCGGCTACCAGTGTGCCAGGAGGAAAGGAGAGAGGACAGTCTGCTGGGACTTCAGATACGAGGACTCCAGGGACAGACTCTGCACGCCTGCTCACCCTTCGGCTACCGGAGGAGCTACAAGAGCGGGGGCGAGCTCCTCGTTGAGCCCCCTGCCAAGCTGACTTTTTAATAAAGAGCTGACTATTAATAAAGGCATAGACCCTGTTCATTTCACTTGTGATATGTTTGCTGTGTAGATAAAGGGAATAACGGTTAAGAAAGAACTGCTTGTGACATGTTTGCTTAATATGCTTGGTTGTGAACTGGTGTCAAGTTCCAGGGAGAAGTAGGAAACTCACCAAATAAGGAAAGGCCATGAAGGGGCTAGAAGAGGAAGACCACCAGCCTTCGTCCAGACGACCACCAGGAGGCAGAAAAAGACCCCCTAGCCACAGGAAGGACATGCGCAGAGTACACCTAGAAGGCCACGTCAACAGGAAATAATACTGTATAAAAAAGGACTGGAACTACGGCTCAGTTGCGTGCCGTGGTGGAGTGGAGACTCCCCGGCCGCCCAGCGCTGTATTTCCCCGTATTGCTTGCTTGCTAAATAATAAAATTTCTTTAATTAGATTATGACACAAATTGGTCCCGTGTCTGAACTTATTACAATTTGGTGCCATGACTCGGATAGAGAAATAGCCCGGCTGTTCTGGGACCCTTGGGAGGCGCCCTGCCTTTTTTTTTGGCGGCCCGACTATCCCAGACCTCCCGGTTTCTCTACCGATGAACCTAAATTAAGCTACGGGCAAAGGAGATCCGGTTAAAAGGCGAACCGGTGGTTACCCCTGTAAACTTTGTGCACGAAGACCCGAGCGAAGATGCAGGACGCCTGATTTTCCCGGAGTGTTGTGTGTGAGAGGTCTCGTAGAGACCAAGCAAGTGCGGACCCTCAGTAGTGCGTTTCCCACACCTCGCGAGGGGCTGGGCCATGAACCAGGGGAGCGTGTGTGTGAAAAATTGAGTGCACTCCGGAAGATGGGACAGAGGAAAAGCAAGCCCTCTGGACCCATGGGTGGGGGAACCCCTGTAAAACTTCCCCGGATTCCTGAAGATAGTCCTCTAGGAGTAATGATAAATAATTGGCATGCCTTTCCCAGTAGGGGAAAGGGGAAAAGGTAAAGAAAATTATCCACTATTTTAAAGAGGGTTTGGAGGTTTGGACCTGAAATTTGGAGGTTTTGACCCAAATTTGGGGGATTCTGACCCAAATCTGGGGGGGTATGGACCCAAAATTAGTAAGTTCTGAACCAAATCTGGAGGGATTTGACCCGGGGTTTGGAGGATTTTAAAGAGTAAAGGAGAATGATAAGGGAAATGGGGATGAGAATTTGGGACAATGAACATCAGCAGGGACCATTGGCAGATAATAAGTGGCCTCTGCAGAACCCCCAATGGAATAACCAGGACCCGCTGCATCAAACCCATATGGATGATTTGTAGAACATAATAATACAGGGGTGTTATAAATGAAAATTTGTCCAGCCAAATTAATATGAAAAATAAATTATTTATTTTGCAATCAAATTTTATCTAGCCAGACACAAGGAAAGAACAGAGCCGAGCCCGGGGTCGGCCCTGGGTGTGCAACAAGGAGTCAGCCTCAGCAGGGGTTTTCCTCCATACCCACACACCTCCATCCTGGCACAAGCGAGTTTTATAAGGAAAATTCCACCTGAGGCCAAGATTTTTGCAATCAGTCCTTTCTTCTATTCAGAGTCCATATGTTAATAATTCAGTGTCCGGAGTTGTTGAATCCCGTGATGAAATTTACGGGAACGCTGCATTCACATGTATCTGTCTGGGGATCTCCAAGATATCCATCTCGGGTCGTTCACGCGATGATCAGTGCCTGGGGTCTCCCGCAGCTTTCCAGACATGGCCCATCTCCTGGCGCCCAGTATCTTCTTACTTGTAAATTAGTTTCCAACATACACCCGGTCTCGGAGGGGAGAAAGGGGGGGGAGGCTAGTAAAAACGAGGTATAATCTAACAAGTATTTAACATTATATATTCCATACAAGGAATGGCGCAAATTATGTTTATTACCCATAACAGGGGATTAAACAATCAGTTCCGCGAGGGCAAAATGTGCAAAAGGCTTTCAGATTGCAACAGAAAAAAAGAGGAAGACCCTACAGAATGGTTAGAGAGATTAAGGAAAGCCTTCCGTTTGTACTCAGGAGTGGATCTTGAAACTCAGGAAGGGGAAGCACTGCTGAGAATGCAGTTTGTGGTCAATTAATGGGTGGATATAAGAAGAAAGTTGGAGAAATTGGATGGATGGCAGATTTGGGGATTGGAGGAACTTTTGCGGGAAGCACAGAAGGTTTATATTAGAAGGGAGGCAGGCCAAAATTATGGCTGTGGTTGTGTGAGAAGGGACCTAAACTGAACCCTCAAGCAGGGGAGATTGGACAAAAAGAAAGTCAGAAATACGGTTCAGAGGAAAGAAGGGAAAGAAATCCTGAGGAAATTACCTGTTTCTATTGTGGCAAGAAAGGACATATGAAAAGGGCATGCCGACAGCGAATGGCAGATGGAAGAGCTTTTAAAGATGATTAGGTGTGTCAGGGGCTCTATTTGCTGGGGGAAAAACACCATAAGGAGCCCTTGGTAAAATTTAAAGTAGGACCCCAGCAACAAGAATTAGAGTTTTTAATTGATACAGGTGCAGAACGATCCACAGTACAGAGATTACCTTTGGGATGTAAGAAGTAATCTGAAACTGTACATGTAATAGGGGCTAAAGGGGAACCCTTTGAGGTGCCAGTAATTAAAAAATAATGCTTAAAACCGATTCGAAATTTAGCATAGGTTCTTTGCTACTGCTACCTGAAGCAGAATATAACCTGCTGGGAAGAGATTTGATAATAGAATTGGGTATTAGTTTGGAAGTTGTAATTAAAGAACTACAAATAAGACTCTGTCCCTTAAGGATAGAGGATGAGAAGAAAATTAACCCTGAGGTATACCCCAGAAACAGTAGGCAAATTGTAAATCAAACCTTTTTCAGTAGAAATAAATAATCCTGGCAATCCTGTAAGAATAAAGCAACATCCTATTCCTAGAGAAAGAAAACTAGGATTAAAGCCTGAAATAGATAGGTTACTGGAAAAAGGGCTTTTAGAGCCCTGTATGTCACCCTAATTCAATATGTGGATGATTTACTAATTGCTAGAAAAGAGGAAGAGGCAGTAAGACAGGAAAGTATTAAATTACTAAACCTTTTAAACTTAAAGGGACTGAAAGTATCTAAATCTAAACTACAGTTTGTAGAAAAGGAAGTAAAATACTTGGGACATTACTTAAGCAGGGGAGTAAAAAGGATTGACCCCGAGAGAGTAAAAGGAATCCTCTCAATTCCACCCCCTAAAAATAAATGGCAGGTGCACCAATTATTAAGTTTAATTGGATATTGTAGGCAATGGATTGAAAATTATAGTCAAAAGGTCAAATTTCTTTATGATTTAAATAGACCCTTTTATTTGTTTATTAATACAGAAGGGGGAACTGCTTGTGGAGTTTTAACACAAGAATGGGCGGACAAAAAGAAACCTGTGGCATATCTCTCTAAATTGTTAGACCTAGTGAGTAGAGGGTGGCCAACATGCTTACAAGCGATAGTAGCTGCCGCCCTTTTGGTAAAAGAAGCTCATAAAATAACGTTTAATGGAAAACTAAAAGTGTTATCTCCACATAATATTAGAGGAATCTTACAATAAAAAGCTTATAAGTGGATTACAGATTCTAAACTCCTCAAGTATGAAGAAACTGCAGTTCGGACCACAGAAGAAGGATGGACACATGCCAGCCGAGTAAAAGGACCAGTTAACAACACTGTAACACTGTGTGGCAAGTAACCAGTCCTCCAGGGGGACCTGAAACTAAAACTACAGAAGAATTAAGGAACTCTTATCAGATTGAATACACATCAGACTTATTTAGACAATGGATTAATTAGTAATTCAAGTGTTAAAGTAGAATGCAAGAATCAAAATTGTAATTGTTATCCTTTTGTATGATATAATTGTAAGGTGTGTAGGGAAAGGTGGTGGTCACATTGCAACAGAGGGTATCCCCCAAGAGGAATTTGTAATTCTTGTTGGAAGATACAAAGAGAATTACAAATTGGGTATTAACTTGTAAGGTAACTAGTGGAGAAATCCAATTGGAATCTAAGGAGTGGTGGGAGAATTCTCTCAAAGGGTGTCCACCCAGGCTATTACTATTACCATATAAATGAGCCGAGCCCATTTGTGGTAGAGATCACAGAAGGCCTTTGCAGGAAAGACCTAAAAGGGGTTAGTTGTACAGCACCAGAGGTGAAGGACCAGAACTGGTGCTCGTATTGCAAAAGACAGGCCACTAGAGGGTATAAGTCCCCTCCTGAAGACCACTCTTGCTGCCAAGAAGATGGTACACCCCGTGGCTCGAAGCACCCGAGTCGACGGGGCAAGGCAGAGAAGTAAACAGCTGTGGAGGAAGGAGCCCTCAGGATAGAATATGCAAGCAATATTTGCAGAACTACCCCAAGACTGGTAGCAGCAAAGGCAAGAATGATTTTTGGGCTCAAAGATCCTTTGGTGGTAACCAGCTAATAGGGAAAGATAAATCAAAAGGGTATAATTGTTGCAGTGTGAGAAACCAGACCCCACATGCCATTTGCTTACTGTTTGTGATTTCCCTTTGTGTATCTTGCAATACTGCAGAAGTAACAACTCATGAACCTTTTAAATGGACCTTAATGAAATTAGAAGATCAACAAGTTGCACAGATAGTAATTACCTCAGGGGCTCCGGGTTTCAAATGTGCCCTTTGTGATCTCATAGTAATGGATCCCTGTTTAAATTACTTGGGGTTTTATCTCTGTCCTAGCTTGAATCCAGGAAAAGGGTATTGCAATTCTCCCAGACAGTATTATTGTGCATACTGGGGATGTGAAACTATAGCCTCTGATTGGAAACCGGAGAGGGAGGACCCTTACCTGCGAGTGAAATGGAGACCACCTGGGTGAACGCCTGCCCAACATGGTCGCGGGGGGGCATACTAGGCGAATACTTTGGGAATTGTGAGGGAATATATATATACATAACCAAACCTGAGGATCCCGGATGGTTGACAGGGAAGACTTGGGGAGTTAGATTATGGGAGCCAGGGACAGATCGTGGGGGACACATTTTAATTAAAAAGGAAGCAGTGTCCGAATCAGAACCTGTAGGACCTAACCCTGCATTATCAGAACCCGTAGGACCTAACCCTGCATTATCAGAACCCGTAGGACCTAACCCTGCATTATTAGGGGGAGATATTCCCCCTTCCCTAAAAGGAGAAGAAGAGAGTCAAAGTAACAATGGAACTCAAATCAATAACCCCCCACAGGAAAAACCCCAAGAGGATAATACACTCTGGAAGGTTATGAAAGCAAGTTATGGGGTTTTAAATAAAACCAGCCCAAAATTAACTGTTGGCTGTGTTACAATTTAAGACCACCATTTTATGAAGCCATAGGGATCACTGCAGAGCCCAAAAGAGTAAATGAAACTAATCCAGATCAGTGCCTCTGGAAAAAGGGTAAGGAGACAACACTGGGACTCACCTTGTCTCAGGTAACAGGGAAAGGGAGATATATAGGAAAAATCCCAACGCAAAAAGAACATCTTTGCGGGGTAATAGGAACTTTAGAAGATTTGAGGAGACCTGCTGATTGGCTATGTGTATGATCAATACACTATACCAGAGCATCATATAGCAAAGAGAGAACCCCTTACTGCGCTGACTATTGCAACTCTCCTAACCATCGGTGGGATAGGAGCAGGAACTGGGGTGGCTTCTCTAGCAAACTAACAAAAAGAGTTCAAAGCTCTCAGGCCTTCAGTAGACAAGGATTTAAGTAAGATTGAGCAAGCTATTGATGGATTAATGAAATCACTCAGGTCCTTGTCTGAAGTGGTATTGCAAAACAGGAGAGGATTGGACTTATTGCTACTCCAACAAGGAGGATTGTGTGTGGCATTAAAAGAAGAATGCTGTGCATATGCAGATCATACAGGAGTTGTAATAGATGCAATGACAGAGTTAAGAAAAAGAATAGAACAGAGAAAATGTGAAAGGGAAGCCCAACAAAGCTGGTATAAATCATGGTTCAATCATGCTCCTTGGTTGACTACTTTGTTATCAACTATAGCTGGACTGTTATTGCTTGTAGTGTTAGGATTAACTTTTGGGCCATGTATATTTAATAAACTTATAGACATAGTGAAAGGATGCTTAGAAGCAGCACATTTAATGCTTGTAAGGGCAAAATATGAACCAGTAGAAGAAATAGATGAAACCTTAATATTGAGTCAACAAGAGCTGCAGAGATTCAGTGAACAAAATGATAAATAGAAAAAGGGGGGAATTGAGATAAATAAATGGTCAAATTTGTTCACTGAACCAGGATGTGCCCGACCAAGTTCGTTGTGTAGATAAAGGAAATAGTGGTTAAGAAAGAACTGCTTGTGACATGTTTGCTGTGTAGATAAAGGGAATGACGGTTAAGAAAGAACTGCTTGTGACATGTTTGCTTAATTTGCTTGGTTGTGAACTGGTGTCTTAAGTTCCAGGGAGAAGTAGGAAACTCACCAAATAAGGAAAGGCCATGAAGGGGCTAGAAGAGGAAGATCACCAGCCTTCGTCCAGACGACCACCAGGAGGCAGAAAAAGACCCTCTAGCAACAGGAAGGACATGCGCAGAGTACACCTAGAAGGCCACGTCAACAGGAAATAATACTGTATAAAAAAGGACTGGAACTACGGCTCAGTTGCGTGCCGTGGTGGAGCGGAGACTCCCCGGCCGCCCAGCCCTGTATTTGCCCGTATTGCTTGCTTGCTAAATAATAAAATTTCTTTAATTAGATTATGACACAAATTGGTCCCGTGTCTTAACTTATTACAGGAGATTTGTTAATATCTTAGGGGAGGCCCTTCACATCCACGCATTTCGTGGACTTCCAGCCGTGTTGGGCTTCTTTCCTGTAGATTTCCCCTTTCGCTTCTGTGAAGCTCCCCATCCCCTTTTCTCCACAGACTTTCCTAAATCCTCTTCCTTCGGGATGGCCACGGCCGAGCTGCCCCAAGCGTCCTGCCGGACACTGTTATTCTCCTTTGAGGATGGCATTGGCCGTGCCTCCCTGGCGAGATGCAGTGTACCCAGCACCCCCTCCCAAGATGGCGCTGGCCACGCTACTTGGAACCCATTTTCCCGTCATGACCCTTCTCTTCTGCCCAAGTTTTCCCGCCAGCCCAACCCCTCCCCCAATGGCCCTGCACCATCCTGCAGCGAGGCCAGCCCCTATTGGGGAGGACATGAGGTTGCATTAATCCCCCAGTCCTTCTTCTGGCCCCTCCTCTGCAGGAGGGATCGCGGGAGGGATCCTCCGTTAGAGGACCTTCCTTTGTAAGAGATCTTTCCCCCTTTGGGGGGGGGGGGGGGAGGCTTCGAAGGGAGCGGAGCTGGAAACCCTGGACCAGGGCTCCACTATCCCATCTCCTAAATGTACCTTGCCCAAAGTTCCCTTGTTATTTCAATACAACTTTTCCCCATTGCTTGTGATAATTTGAAAATAATTTACATGATTGAGTTATATCTTATAGAAGGAAAGATCATCCTCTCTAATTGCTGCCAAAAATGCTATGCCAACTTCGCAATCAAATTATCAAATTGGAGAAACCATGTTGCTGTTCGCTGCTTCAGCTCTGCTAGAATTCAAAAACCACAAGCATCGCATCATGAATCCTGCTTCCATCCTCGACACAGAATGTGTTTATGATAATTTTGTACCCTTTATCTTAAATTGTAAACTGAAAAAGATTTTTGCCCCATGCAGTGTAACTATGATTAGTGTATCACTTTCTGATGTCTCTCGACTTACATTTTCTCAGTAATTTGTAACGTTGCTAATTTGCTTTTACCTCAGAACTCCCTTTCCTTTATGTAAAGCCAAAGAGGGAGTTGTGGGGAATTTTAATTTTTCTTCCCCCCCACCCATGCCTACCCCTCCCCCTCCCCGCACGTTGCCTTTTGTCCAGGACCCTACCCCTCCCCCTCGCCACGCAGTCGGCTCCCACACCCCTCCCCGCCGTTCCCATCCCCGCCCCCCGTCCCCGTCCCCGTGGTCTCCTGCCTTCCCAGGGGGTTTTCCCTGCCCCTGTCCTATCCTTATTGGCCGCGGTTCCATTTCCCCCCCCCTCCCCCAGTTCGGGGGTTATATCTGAGACCCCGCGAGTGCCCCCAGCATCTCGGCTGCACGCATTCACAATAAACACATGTATGCACCTGAGCCCCGTGTCGCGATCCGTCTGTCCCCGGGGTGAAGCTGAACTCGCAGAGCGTAAGGGGAAAGCGGCGTTTGCCTCTCCCCCTCCTCCCCCCGCGCTCCGCCGGCGCCCGCTCAGGCCGGTCTCGCACGGCAACAAACTGCCATACAGATGGCAAATGAATACATCTTGCTTCTCAGTGTGGGACAACCAAAGAGAAGAGATCAGTGTCTGCCCCTCCTTTTTCCCTCATGAGGAAGTTGTAGAGTGCGATCAGGTCTCTTCTCAGCCTTTTCTTCTCCAGGCTGAACAGACCAAGCAACCTCAACTGTTCCTCCTAAGGGTTCCCCTCAGGGCCCTTCACCATCTTTATTTCCCTCCTCTGGATGCTCTCTAATAGCTTAATGTCTTTCTTATATTCTAGTGCCCAAAATTGCACACAATATTCAAGGTGAGGCTGCACCAGTGCAGAGCAGGACAATCCCTTCTGTTGTGGTTTGAGACTGACCAAATGCCAGGCACCTACGAGAGTCGCTTGCTCACCCTCCCCTGCCAAAGCTGGGTAGAGAGAAAAAAATTTAACTAAGGGTTCATGAGATAAGGACTGTGACAAAACACTTCAAGGGCAAAACAGGCTCAACTTAAGGTTGCAAAGTGAATTTATTACTAACAGAATCAGAGGGAGGAGGAATATGAGAAGTAAAATAAGCCCTTAAAACACCTTTTTCCCCCCATCCCCTCCTTCCTTCCCACCAACAGTGCATGGAGACAGGGCATGGGGTTTTTTTTCTCGGTCAGTTCATCTCCAAGATTTTCTTCTGCTGCTCTGGGAAACGAGTCCTTCCCCTGTGAGACTGTGGGGTCCCTCCCACAGGAGACAGTCCTCCGTGAACTTCTCCAGTGTGGGCCCACTCATACAAGCATCAGCCTTACTACACCTGCTGCAATGTGAATTCCCTCCCATGGGAAAACAGTCCTTCCAAAACTGCTCTGACATGGGTCTATCTTTCCATGGGGGGCAGTCCTCCAAGGACAGGCTGCTCCAGCCTGGAAGCGGGGGCTCCCTCTCTCCACCGGGTCTCCCACTGGATCACAGCCTCCTCCAAGAATCCACCCATTTTGGTGTGAGCACCACCCTCACAGGCTGTGGGTGGATATCTGCATCCCCTGTGGACCCATGGGCTGCAGGGCGACAACCTGTTTCACCATGGTCTTCTCTATGGCCTGCAGAGGAATCCCGGCTCCAGCACCTGGAGCACCTCCTCCCCCTCCTTCACCACTGACCTTGGTGTCACCATGTGATTTTCCCTCACATTTTCACCTCCTCCTCTAACTAGAAGAAAATAACTGTGTGACTTTGTTTTTATTTTCTTCTTAAATATGTAATCACAGAGGCATTACCAGCCTCTCTCAGTGGCCCAGTTTTGGCCAGCAGCATGTCCATCTTCAGAACCATCAAGGATTGGCTTGGCTGGACATGGTGGAAGCTTCCAGCAGCTTCTCACAGAAGCCGCCTCTGTGTCCCCCCTGCTACCAAAAACCCGGCCATGCCAAACTAATACACCCTCCCCTGACTGGCTGGCAATGCTGTGCCTGATGTACCCCAGGACATGGGTGACCCTCTTAGCTGCGAGGGCACACTGCTGACACATAATCAACTTTCCGTTGACCAGGACTCCCTGGCAGTGATTTCCAGCATCTCAGTCTCTAGTCTGTCTGTACATCCAAGGTTGCCCTGTCCCAGGTGCAGAGTCCAGCACTTCTCCATGTTGAACTTCATATGGTTGGTAATTACCCAACTCTCTAAATTGTTGACGTCTATTTGCAGAGCCTCCCAGACTTTGAGAGAGTTGACAGCTCCTCATAGTTTTCGATCATCTGTGAACTTGCTTAGTATCCTTTCCAGTCCTGTGTCCAGGTCATTAATGAAGATGTTGAAGAGCTCAGGGCCGAGGATAGAGCCCTGTGGAACCCCACTAGTGACAGGCCGCCAGTCTGATGTCACCCCATTCACTATAACCCCTTGTGCCCCACCCGTGAGCCAGTTGCTCACCCAATCACATGATGTGTTTATCCAGCTGGGGGCTGGACATTTTGTCCAGAAGGATCCTGGGAGAGACAGTATCAAAAGCTTTACTGAAATCCAAAAAAATGACATCAACTCGCTTTCCTTGATCAACCAGGTGGATTGCATTGTCATAAAAGGAAATCAGATTTGATAAGCAGGACTTTCCTCTCATGAAGCCATGCTGGCTGTGACCAATGACTGTATTGTCCTTCAGGTGTTTTTCAATACCTCCCAGAATAATCTTCTCCATAACTTAAATAGGCACTGAAGTGAGACTAACAGGCCTGTAGTTTCCAGGGTCCTCTGTCTTGCCCTTCTTGAAAATCAGGACAACGTTCACCAACTTCCACTCAGCTGGGACCTCTCTGGATTCCCAAGACTGCTCAAAAATCATTGAGAGAGGTTTTCTGATGACAGCAGCCAGTTCCTTCAGGATTCTTGGATTAATCTTATCAGGCCTCATAGATTTGTAGGGATCCATCTGGAGCAGCTGATCCCACACAATTTCCAGGTTGACTGGAAGTTGAACATTCTCACAGTCATGGTCCTCCAGCTCAGGGCTCTGAGACCCCCTTGGTCTGTCATCCATATTGAAGACAGAGGCAAAGAATGCATTAAACATCTCTGCCTTGTCTCTGTCCCTTTTTCTCAGGTGACCATCCTCATCCTGTAATGGGCCCATGTTATTTTTACACTGTGTATTGACATTAACATATTTTAAAAAACACTTTTTATTATCCCCCACAGTTCAGGCCACCTCCAACTCCAGTTGAACCATGGCGAAATGAATTTTCTCCCCACCATGGCAAGCAATATTTCTATTCTTTCCATGTCTCCTGACCTTGTTTCCACTGGGCACACACCTCCCTTTTTTGCCTTATTTCTAAGAGAAAATTCCTGTTCAGCCAAGCGGACTTTCTATGCTGCCTGTTTGACTTCTGATATTTAGGAATTGCCTCCTCCTGTGCCCTTAGAAAGTGAGGTTTAAAAAGTGACCAGCACTGATGGACCTCAGCACCTGCAAAAACATTTCCCATTGTGACCTAACTCACTAGTTCCCTGAGCAGCCTGAAGTCTGCTCTCCTCATGTCCAGAGTTAAGGTTTTGCTGGCACTTTTCCTCCTGCAAACAGAGATTTTAAACTCAGTTGCTTCATGTTCACTGGGGTCAAGATGGCCACCAATCTCCACTTTGCTCACGAGATCCACTCTGTTGACAAGGAGTAGATCAAGGAAGGCATCTTTCTGGGTTGGCTCCCTTAGGACCTGTTCCATAAAGTTGTCAGCCAGGTTTTTTAGGAATCTTCTGGTCTGGGTTGTACCAGCTTTGTGATGCTCCCAGTTAATTTCTAGCAAGTTGGAAGTCCCCCATAAGGACAAAGGGAGTTGACTTGGAAGCATCCCTTAGTTCCTCAAAGAATAATTCATCGTCATCCTCATCATCCTGGCTAGGCGGTCTATAGTAGACTCCTATGATAACATCTGCATTATTTCTTTGCCTCTTGATTCTTATCCAGAGGGTCTCAACTGCACCACTGCCAACTGTGAGCTCCATATATTCTAACCCTTCTATTACATTCAGTGCCACCCGTCTGCCTCTTCTGCCCTGCCAATCCCTCCTGAAGAGCCTGTAACCGTCCAACAGGGCACTCCAGTTGCAAGACTCATCCCACCAGGTTTCACTTATGCCAATGACTTCAAATCTCTTTGACTGGGTGTAGTGGTTTTGGTTCGTCAATTTGAGATTTCCTGGCCAACACACCAAAGAGTGTGGCGGGTTCAGTGCTGGCCAATCACCAATGCACTCACTTCCTGCTGTGAGATAGGATTAGGAGAAAGACAAAGCAGGCTCAAAACTTTAAAAGGGTATAAAGAAAAATTTATTAACAGTAACTAAAAGAAAGAGTAATAAGAATCAGAACAAAACCTTCAGAACACTTCTCCTCCACAATCTTTTCTTTCCCACTGACAATGTAAAGAAACAAAACCTAAAATCAGTCAGTTTACCACCTCTAGAATAGTCTTTCTTCAGTTCACTTAGGAGAGAAGTCCCTCTTGTTAATGTTATGGAGACTTCTCCACGAGGAAAAAAAATAGTTCTCTTGTGGCTCTCAATTTGTCACTAATAGCAGCTGCCCAGGGAAATCTGCACTCATGAAGTCCCTCCCATTTTCCACAAGCTTTTCCCACAGCTGTGTTTATGGGCCATGTCAACTTATGGTGTACTGTTTTAAAGATGAGCTGTTCAAATCCAGAAGTTCTCATTATCTACCTCTAAAGTCATCTTAATCTCTGGGAATTTTATGAACAAAACAGCCTGGCTGGGACACTTGGCTTGGGCTAAATACTGACATTGAAATGTTAATTAGCTAATTGTTCCTGGGAATCACCTACCTCCCCCCACCCTCACTACCATTCTAGGACTGGGATGCAAAATAATCCAGTGGAATCATGGGAGGGGGTTTTGGGGATGAAAAACACCGCTAAATGGAAAAGATGGGCACAGTGGAGGGGGCTGGATGGGTGTGCTGGTTGGGGAAAAGGGAACCCCATCCCTAGTCTGTGTTTGACCTGTCACCATAACCTACAGAGGACCAGACTAGACTGGGCTGTGGGAAGCAGGAGCAAAGCACACACACATTTCCTGGTGTTACCAGGAGGGAAGGAGAGGGATAGCAGCTGCTGGACTTCGGCAGCAGGCTCTGCACATCCCCTCACCCTGCGGCTACCAGTGTGCCAGGAGGAAAGGGGAGAGGACGGTCTGCTGGGACTTCAGATACAGACTGCACACCTCTTCACCTCCAGCTACCAGCATGCCACGGGGACTCCAGGGACAGACTCTGCATGCCTGCTCACCCTTTGGCTACCGGAGGAGCTACAACAGCGGGGGTGAGCTCCTTGTTGAGCCCCCTGCCGAGCTGACTTTTAATTAAAGAGCTGACTATTAATAAAGGCATAGACCCTGTTCATTTCAGGAACAGAGGCCTTCTTTTCCTGGAGGCACAGGACCACTCTTGTCCCCTCTGTTCAAACTTCTCACAGGATCACAGCTACTTTAACATCTGCTTACTTTGGCATGGAGGCCTTTGCTCGATATTGCTATAGGTAAAAATTAATCAAGCCAAATGTAATATTTAATAAAAATAAATTTTTAT